TGAAAATTAGCATTGTACATTTTTCCCATTTAAAGCTAACATACAAATATGCACCAGCCATGAGACTCTAGATTGAAATAAATGAGACTCCAGGATATAACAGCGGGTGCAGCGGGTTCTTGCTAAGTTCTTACTGTTTCTTCCCAAGAGCTTCAGAAAATTGGATGAAGGGGGAAACAAATTGGAGGGCCGCAGGGAAAGGAGAGTGAAATTAGTTTGACTGCTCTTGCAAGACTGAATGATCTCCTTCTGTGCTCTAACAATTCTATGATATTTGATCCAACAGCAAATAAATAATAGATAGCCAAAATGGCTTTTCTTAATGACCTACCACAAAACATCAATGGCATCTGAAACAGCAGTTGTAAAATTTTTGTCTGACGGATAGTAATAGTAATGTTGACAGTATGTAGGCTTGGTACTCCGAATCTCAACTTCACAACCTGATTCAAACAAAAACAAAACATATTGATGCAGTGGGTTCTTTTGTTTTAAAAAGAGTGGCTCCCATTTGCCTATCGTCCCCATACTCACTCATCTACATTGGCTGTCAATCAGAAACACTCAACTTTAAAACAGTACAGATGGAAAATTACACACAACATATGTGGTAGTCCCTAGGAATGCTGATGGGAAGATCCTGCCATGGAATCTTTTAACAGGGGTAGGTTATTGCACTGCAGCTAACACACAGTTCAGCTGACTGGGAACACTCTCCCACTCTCATTCTCACAACCTGCTATAGCTGTATCAGAAGCCTTTACACATTGCTTAATAGCACTAGTTCCATCATCTGGCCATAAAATTACATGTGATTCTGTGACCACAAAAGCATCCAATTTTTAAAGATTGAAAATAGTAAATCACACACCCCAAATTCCCAGCATTTTTTTTTGAATAGTTGTATAACCAATTTGGCTTGGGTGGCACAGTGGTTCAGTGGTTAGTGCTGCAGCCTCACAGTGCCAGGGTCCCAGGTTTGATTCCAGTCTTGGTTGACTGTCTGCGTGGATTTTCACATTCTCCTGATGTCTGTGTGGATTTTGTCCAGGTGCTCCAGTTTCCTCCCACAGTCCAAAGATGTACAGGTCAGGTTGATTGGCCATGGGAAATTGCCCATAGTGTCCAAGGATGTGCAGGCTAAAAAAATTAGCCATGGGAAAAGTAGGATTATGGTGGGTGGGTCTGGGTAGGGTGCTTTTTCAGAGGGTCGGTGTGGACTTGATGAGCCAAACGGCTTCCTTCCACACTTTACAAAGACATTTAATGGCAACAAACAGCACTTCAAGTGTAGTCCAAAGCAAAATACAACATCATATGACCATAACTTTGATCTGAGAGGCACTAAAGGAGAAAAGCAAGTGAGAGGTAGAGAGTGTATGGACAGGATACCAGAGCTGGGGGTCCAAGGCACAGCTACTAAAGTGACTAAAATTAGGGAGGCCAGAATCATAGGAGCATAAATACGTTACAAGTTTGTGAAGTGTGAGAAGATTACAGGAGTGGCACAGTGGCTCAGTGGTTAGCACTGCTGCCTCACAGCGCCAGGGACCCGGGTTTGATCCCAGTCTTGGGCGACTGTCTGTATGGAATTTGCACAATCTCCCCATGTCTGTGTGGGCTTCCTCTGGGTGCTCCAGTTTGCTTCCACAGTCCAAAGATGTACAAGTTAGGTGGACTGGTCATGCTAAATTGCCCATAGTGTTCAGGGATGTGTAGATTAGGTGAGTTATGAGGGGGGGGGTGGGTCTGGGTGGGATGCTCAGAAGGGCAGCGTGGACTTGTTGGGCTGAAGGGCCTGTTTCTACACTGTAGGGATTCTATGAGATATGCATACGTTGCACCTTGTTGGGGAAACAAAGTTTTGTTATCTTGAAAAACATTACACATTGGTTTAAATGTTTCATGCAAGACATGAAAAGCAAGAGCAAAGAATGGGAACTGGACAGCAGGGAAGATTAAAGGAAGTCAGATTGAGTTGTATACTTGTATCCCAGCGGTATTCATTCATTGGTTGTTGTTGAAACAATTCAGTGACAAGTGATGACATTCACCAAGCGTAAAGATGTGAATATAAATGTTCATGCAATGCCAAATACTAACCTGGCCAGTAATACATATAAACTTGACGCTTATTCTTCATCATGGTAACCCAGATTGGCTCTGATGCATCCCACCACATAGGGAGTCGGCTGTCCTCATTCTCACCAATTATAAATGACTTGTTTGTTTTCTCATCCCACATATAATTTCCAATCATTTGGTGCACATTGCAATAGTGTCCTGTAAGAGACACAGAGATCAGAATAAACATGAGACTTCTCTTCACAATCATTTCACGCTTTCATTAGTCTGCCAGTCAATGTGATGTTTTGTATTGTTCAACAATTACTCATTATGGACAAGATTTATTGATTTTAATTTCATATTTCTAACTAATCTAACCTATGCCTATTATTTTCTTTGAAAGTAAAGTTAACCTTTAAGTCAGTCAATTCAATTGATGGTGTATGAAAATATAAATGGTCACTGCCAAGTCAGTATGATCATTCATTGGGCCTAAGCCTAACCTAATGCAGTCAAGTCATCTGATCCACTGTCTATGAGATTTAGCACACTGTGAAAGATTATTCGGAAAAGTCTTTGCAAATTAAACATTTGCTGAACTCGTTGACTTTAAGGTCAATTGTACAACTTTACCACGGCCCTGACAGATGTGTTAACTCAGCAGAGTTCAGAAATCAAATCTGTTGGAAAGTTAATAAAACATCAAAATAGGCGTTACTAATTTCATCCTTTAGTCCCAAGAGCCTACTGTATTGCTAACACTTTTAGTTTCTTTCTAACACGTTTTCTATTCATTTCCACTCAAATCCGCGATCAGTTAACATGTTGACATTAATTAGAATTGATCTTGTTGTTGCAAAGAATACACAGAATATATCGGCAACTTTTACAGCTATAGACATTTACAGCACAGAAGAATGCCATTTGGCCCTGTTGCGTCCTAATTGTTCAACAAATATCTGATTACACTGATGACATTTACCTGTTCTTGGTCAATATCTCTTAGGCTATGGCAATGCCAATGAATATTTAATTATTGGTTAAATGTTACAAGAGACTCTGACCTGATTACCCTTTCAAACAGTGAGTTCCAGCCCCTCATCATCTTCTCCTCGACTTGCCTTCTACCTTTGACCTTAAATCTATGCCTCCTGGTTATTGACCCCTGTACTAACAGAAAACGTGCATTCCCACCCTCCCTTTCTATGCCTTTCATAATCTTATACACTTCTATAAGTGCCCCTCTCTGCCTTTGTACTCCAAAGAAAACAACCCAGTTTATTCAATCTTTTTGCATACTTCACACCTTCCAGCCCAGGCAGCATCCTGGTAAATCTCCTCTGCAGCCTCTCCAGTGCAATCACATCTTTCCTATAATGTGGTGACCAGAACTGCATACAGTACTTCAGTTGTGGCCTACGAGTATTTTACTCAGTTCCAGAATCATCTCTTTGCTCATGTATTCTATGCCTCAGCAAATAAAAACAAGTATCCCCTATGTTTTTTTTTAATCACCTTTGAAATAATTCTATTGAGGCTGATATTCATCATCGAGTCACCCTTTATTTACATGTGGAAATATCCTTAACACTGATCCAGCTCCCTCAGAGCCAGCTCTCAGAGTGAATACAATCTTTGACTCTCCTGTTCTTATCTGTCAGCCAGGCCTCCCTGATCGGACCAGACTAACAGCCCCAATCAGGGATATTATATTCTACGAGGTCCACCTGGCTAGCCTCATTACAATAACCACATCCCTCTCCCTCAGACTCTGAAGATAAAGGCTGTTTTTTTTTGTAGCTCTCCCCGGGACGTTTTCGCACCTGGTCAGGTTCCTACAATTCTGCCTCTGATATGGGCAGCGTGTAACACGCAGTAGCTTGCCTCTTGCACCTGGAGCATCTCGGAAGAAATTCATTCTCTCCCTCAGGTGGCAAAGGCGTCAAGGCAGCGACATGTGGATGTACCTTCAGAACTTGACAGAGAGGGAGAACCCACAGGTTGCAGAACAGTCGAAAAGGCAATCGAGGATTTGGGCACATTTTGCTTCTGCACCATTTGCAGCTTTCGTACACTGCACTTGCTTGTTCAGGACCGTTGCACCTACTCAAACTTTATACATCACTGGATCTGACCTCACGTTGACCATGCCTCTTACCCATGCAGGGCCATCCCCGTGGTTCCTATACCAAATTTCATCCCCTGAAGTAAACTCTCTCATTTAGCAGAGTCTTGTGTCTGGCATTGGCATCCCTGCTGCTTTTTCACCTTCCCACCAGGTCCGGGAAAATCAGATTTAACCTGGTGCAGGGTCTTCACTCCATTTGCCATTATGATGGAGCTATCCCTGTAATTGCATGACAGGTAGTCCTATAATCAAATAGGAACTGGGACATTTTGGTATCTAGTGCAGTTTTAAGCTGCTTC